CTCCCCCAAAATGAACTACGTAGTATATGAACGGCCCCCTACTCGGTACTTGGTGGAGGGAGGGTACGCGTTAAGTAAGGTGCACTCTAAAAAACTGATGTGTTTAAATCTACCATCAGCATAATAGACGACACTATACTTTTCGCTGCCTCTCTTCAGTCACTCATTCCTGTAACTGCGTATGCAACCCGCCTGGGATGGTAGGCAACCTATCCGACACGCCCCTTTGCTCGGAGCGAGTAGGAAGGGTTGCCTAGCCAAGATGTGGTCAACCATTTTCCTGTTGATCAAAGAGAAAGGGACAATCGGTACCACAGACCATTATACCGTGTTCAGGCTAAGACATGACTGTACGTTGGGTTGCCTATATCCTGGTTGCAGGCGCGGGGCGGGGGGTGGTAGGGAAGTTGAAGCTCCCCCATCACTCTCCCGCTGGCACCCCGCCATAGGCAACCCAACTGGCAGGGCAGCTCTTTACAGCCGGCACATCCGGTATACCGCGAAACACAACTGTTTGAAAATCTTACCTTATATGCTTATACTAGGCATTGTTATAGACAAAGAGGCTGATCCCTGGTCGCGGAAGCGATGTGCGTTTCCGTTGTTTTGTGATTTTGTTATGTTGGCAATTGATTATCATGGGGAATTAATTTTCAACTTCTTTCCTCCTTAGTTTTTTTGTACCCATTCCGCTCATTTACTCGACGCCGCTCCTCGCGCGTACGAAATATACCTCAGTTCTGCCATGTCGTTCTCTGCGCAGGCTTGCCAACGCACAGACTGCAACAAAAGGCGTTTTAGAAGCAAGCGCTCATTGTAACTTTGACCTCAGTAATCTTTCCAACGGTAATAATTGCTCGAGAATTAGTTTCGCAGCAATTTTTGTTGTACTCTCATCAGAACAACATATCTCTGACTCACATCAACCCTATAAACTTTACCATTGGAAAGGTTGGATCCACATAAGTTGGGCCGTGATCTCCCAAACTCCTGGGGGCTACTCGACTCGATTGTTGAGGCTTCGCCTCTTATTTTTATTCAGATTCTTTATTTCTCATTGCTTTAAGGCTCAGCCAATGAAGGGTTATTACGCGTATGGGGGTGTCCACGGAACCCCACCCCACCCGGTAAACTTCCCCAACATCCGGAACATTTTTACCTTTGCTGGTGGATGGTTCTAGTTTAACCCATCAGTAGGGTTGTTTTCACCCTTGTGGGTCGGTGATTGCAGTATTGCCGTCAGTAGAGGCAACTTTACTCTCGTGGGTTAGTAAAGACACAATCACTAACAGCGAGGACAAATTTACACCACTTGAGTAGACAATTTTACACCACTTGGGAAGACAATTTTACCATCAAGATGAGAGGGTAAATTGCTTTACCCATGCATATTGAAAATTAAATATCCAATTGGAACATCTAGCCGTTATGACCCGATGAAGGGTAAAATTGTTCCTGAAATTTTTTACAGTGCAAGAAAAATTTTGATCTTACATAAAAAAAGGTATCTGCAACTAACGGATTTTTGGATAAGATGTCGGACCTTTCCTTAACAGAAAGCTTTGTTACATCATCAAAACCTTACAGTTGATATAAGTGTGGCCAATGAAAATCTGCACTACTCAAAGTGAAAAACACAGTGGGAGTGCCTAATTGATTAACCATGTCTAGACTTTCTCCACGTCTTGAATTCCAATATGATTTTGTTGTTCGCATCCTAGAACAATAATGCATTACCTGGTTTACAAGACTAGGATTTTTTTTTAAGAAATCATTTAACTGTATGACAGGCATCTTGGAAAAGAAACTATTTTTTTGAACATAAATGTTACCTATGTTTAATGCAGACCATCGCATTTCACTATTCATGATAAAATAGCGGAACCTTTCGTCTTGTGCAAAACGCTGATCTCGATATAACATAAGATGTCTGATATAATCCTTTAAAAATACTTTATGTTTGCGCGTCATTGAAAAATCTCCTGCCCCATAAGAAAATAGATATGGAACAGCC